ATTATTATTGTTATTATTACTACTATTGTTATTATTATTATCATTATTACTATAATCATAGTACTACCTGAGTTTGGATATTGGTGAAGGCAGGCAGGGTAGACAACTGTACCAGATTGAGCCAGGTCATGTCCGTGATCCATTTGGCGGGTTTCGGCGTGACAGCGTTCAGATCGAGGGCCGCTCCCCCTGTGGAGCAAAGTTCCGTGAAGACGTTTCAGAGGCGTGTGTCTCTTCCCCTTGTCTGTATGTGTTTTCTATAACTCAATCCTGAGCACAAATTATTTGCCCACACTAACAGACACACAAGGTGGAAGAATCCACAATATTCTTTTTGAAGTCTTAAAAGATAAATATATACCTACACTGTAACGGTTATAAATAGCCTGGAAACTGCAAGAAGTAGAACTGACATAACACATGGAGCTTCAGAAATCATCTTTAGATAAATTTTCATATTTCAGAGAGCTTGATCACCTTTTCCCCAATACTATCGGGTTCTTGACTACCAGGTGACCAGATGGGGGCAGACCTTCACTCTTTTAACATCATACCTTGCCTGCATCACTCTGTAAATCTCTTTATTCAAACCATAAAAGATAATTATGTCGTGATGCAAATATCTTTTCTTAAAACAATTAGGTGTCCCAACCAGGCTAATGGGACCGCTCTCACCTTTGATAAACACCTGGAACTCGTTCGGCTTAACCCCTCCTCTCGTGAGGTCAATCTTGATGGCTAGAAGGAGGGTGAAGAGTAGCCGGTCCTGGTTGTACAGTGACCTCGAGGTGTAGGCCCAGACCTCATAGGTTAAGTACTCGATGATTATCTCAATACGTTTTTGGGTGTGTGGGCTCGGCTTGGATCTGGGAGGGGGAAGAGGAGGTACAGGTGAAGGAAATTGTTTTGTTTATTTCTATTTTGGGGGGGTTGGGGTAGTAATTTGTGGAGATGAGGAGGATGAGGGGAGGGGGTGATATTTAGAGGACGAGGGGATAAAGCGAAGGGGTGGGTGGGGTTGAAGTTATTAACTTGTTTGATTTTTTAAAATGATTCTATATATTATTTTAAAACATAATATTGTTATGAATTTGTTGTTGTTGTTTTGTTTGTTTTTTTTGGTGTATTTTTCAACGGCCTGGAGGGAGAGTTTAACTTTTATCTGGAAACACGTGGTACACAAGGAGTTGACACAAACTGCAAGCCAGTAACAATCACGGCCCAACAGGACAACGAGAACGGAAACCCTGAGATATAAATAAGTCATGTACCACATGGGGGG